CGGAAAGGGGAGCGAAAGCGTCGTGATAAACTATGTGCTCGTTTGGTGTTGACTCAAGCGATTGCAGCGTAGAGTTGTAGTCCACTGTACAAGCACCATGATGATGCAAGATGCAGGGTAAAATCCCAAGCAAACCTACTGGGTCGACAGGCCGAACAAGCTATCGAGGCTAAATGTTCAGTCCCAAAGAAACCTTCACCCAATGCAAAGTAACAGCGATGGGTGTTTCAAAGTGCCGAGTGGAGGTAGACACGTGCAACTCTCTAAAAAATCCCGCTGAACAGAGAAAATGCTTCCGGGAAATCTACGGCGAGTGTATCACGAAACTTCACTTCACCAAACACTTCTGCCGGGGTAAGAGTATGAACCCAGTGATATCCCATCTTGTTTAGCTGTAGAACGGGGAGAAATCAAATTTTTACGTCATGTTCCAGCACTGCAAACGTGCCCAGACCAAGGAAGAGAAAGCCACCTGTGAAAAGGAGGTGAGTTGAAATGTGCCTATCTCAGTATGCAGTATGTGGAGTGTTTCTATCACAAACATGGAGGTAAGGTTGAGGGTGGCAGTCTCAGAAACCTGCTGTAGTTGGAGATGTAGGTATGTGTGGAGTGCTCAGCTCTGCTGGGTCGTATTGTCACCAGAGTCTGATGTCTTGCAATGAACTGGAGGGTGATTGCCCGAGTCTCTGTTTTGAAGATATCAGGATGCCTTGTACCACGGTTGTCAGCTGTACCAACAAGGTAAGTACAAACTGTGCTCAGAGCAAGCCGAGAAGACCGAGACACTGAGCAGATCTGGACGAAAAAAGTGGAAATAATGCGGTCTGTAAAACACTTCTTATCGGTACGGTGAGTTGCCTGGATCAGATCGAAAAGTGCCGAAGGGTGAAGGACAAGAAGGGAAAGGAGTATTGCTCCAAAAGGGCAAGAGCTGTAAGGAATTGTTAACCGATACAAGCAGAACCAGAAAAAGTGTTTTTAGCTGATAAATTTAGAAAATACGAGTAACGGGGGGAAAACTGTTATCACTCAAGAGTTCTCAGGTGTTCTAGAAAACGGACATTCGCTTATCCGAACCAGATTTAAAACCCTTGATCCTACTACAGTGACTAATTAATTGACAAAGTCCACCACGACGTTGTATGAATGTACACTGCTTGGGGACTTTTATGCTTTCTAGTTTTATCAAGGACATGGACACAGCGGCTGATCTACCATAATGTTTGTATGCCAAACCACCCTGAGTTAGTCCTGTAATAACTATTTGGTGATTTTCGGTTAACTTTGATTGATTTCCCTAAAACTGTTTAGTAGTTTCTGATTCTCAGGGGTTCATTGTCAAAGCTGCGTTTTCCTCAAGTATCACTCGTATATAAGAATTTCTAAAGGGTATTGAATTTGACAGCTGGTTTTAAAATGTAGTACAGTCTTATACGAATGCAGGCTAACATGGTTAGCATGACAATGTCTACTCATTTTTATTTCTAATATCCTCGGTTTATGGGTACGATTATATTATTTACCTATATTATCAGCAGTTATATGTTATAACTTATATCCGACCAATTTCGAAACTCTAAATTTTAACAAGAACTATGAAAAGCCGTGTAAACCGAATTTTAATCGTGAATGTAGATCAGTGGTGACAAAAAAAAGTACCCTAGTCACAAAAAACATTTCCAGATCAGGTGACAGGATTACACCTCCCATGCAAGGCTTGTCTGGTTTGCCAACATGGTATCTGTCGTGGGAGTTCCTGTTCGTGACTACTCAACAAATCAACCTCAACTCTCAACGAGAATCTCAAGGATCTACGCTCGAGGACAGATCAGGGGCGATCAGACGTGTTCCAAGCCTTCAGGATTGTATCAGACACCAATGTACAGCGTTGTACATTGTGAAGCTAGAGGAAGGTATTTCTGTCGGGATTACTCCTAAATGGAAGAAAAGAGGAATGTTTACTCGAGAGAGTTATAAAAGACCTCTTCGTTACCACGGTTTATCCCCGCTGCAAGAAGTACGTGCTCGTGAAAGGAGTGGTGACCTCTGAAAAGGAGAGAGTCAGCTTGTAAATGTCCAAATCCAGGACTTTCAATCGGTTGATATACTATCGTTCCAATGTATGAGGTTGGTGTTACCAGATGCGTTTCCATAATCAAGCACGTAGTGAGCCGAGTCCGTCGCTCCTTGGCAGGCAAGGTCTCCAACATCCTGAAGCACTGTTCTCGTTTCCACAAAACGGTTGTCAAACACTACAACCATGTGCCGCGAAAGTATCACATTTTGCAGGGGTCGGGGGTACAGTTATAACCACTTGTCTAGGCGGGCTTTTAAAAAAAAAAAAATTCTACGTGACAGAATATTACCAACTAAATGTTTCAACTCTACCACTCGCCTTGCGATTTAGAACGAAGAAGCAGACGTCATTGCAGAATCATAACACAGACACTGTAAAAAAACAAGCAAACTGTGACTTATTCTATTACCGAATAAACGTTGATTAGAAGGGCAGAAAAAACTCTGCAGAAGGTTGCACGGAGTGCTGGCAGGCATTATGATCTGAGTGAAACCTGTAAGAGGGTTAGTTTGAGGTGCCTGGAGAAAGGTCAGATCTAATTCAAAAGCTTACCCAGGACAAAATACAAAGACTCACTCTGTAAGTGTAACAGATGGAGAGAAACACTTAAATGTAGATTTGTTGTCTCCGGACTGCAGTTATAGGAAGCCAACTGCAAAAAGGTTTCGCTCGTGGTTCTCTGCAAAAAGAAGTCCTCATGGATCTTAGCCGGCTCTGTCACATGATTCAGAGGAAGGAACTGTCCAGCAACACTCTAATGCTGTATCAGAGTCGCTGTCTACAAGTTCTGGTTTTCTTTGTAGGAAAGCAGGTTATACCTGTAGTACTAGATACGTAGAGCGCTATCTGTCAAAGAAAACTAGTCCGACGTTGGTTGATCAGTGCCAGAAACAGAAATCCTCTCATCATCGACTCCTATATTTATAAATAAACCTCACCATTTCAAATAGTCCGTTTATCAAGTCTGCAGAAGGATGATGGTTTACCGTCAAAAGTGTGTCAAACTGATTCGGTTCTGTAAGTCCGATTATCACTTCAAGCCGAAAGTATGCAGTTGTGAGATATTTTATGGTTTGCAAGGAAAGCTCATCCAAGTTATGGAATCCTGGTTATGAGGCAAAACAAAGCAAACTCGACCAGAACGTTTCCGGCACTTCTGACGCGAACCATTTAGGAACGTACAATTTTTGCCAAAAAATTGTTTTCGTTATCCTGACTAAAAAATGCATACAATTGAATCAATATTGTAAGCTGAGGACAAATGACTTAAGGAAATTACGTCTTTGCTCAAAAAAAAAGGCCATTTGCAACTTGCCAAAAAAGTTCTAGGCCTCACTCGCAGAAAAGAAAACTACCATTGTGGGTTCCTCGCAAGCCACATCAGACACATTAAAATGTAACATACCAAATGTGGTAATACAAACACTTGCGCTCTCCGGCACTAGAAATTATCTGCCTCAGTGCAACGGAAAGAATAAGGAGCTGTCTTGGTAAAGGTTATACTGATATAAAGCAGTGTCTGGGGGGTTTATACTGGGATTATATGTCAAGTGATCAGGTATCAAAGACCACTGTTGCTGTAAGCGTTCGATAACATTTTCATGTCAGGTAGGTTTCTCTCATCTCGTATAACAACTACACACCATTTACTCGAGAAGGCATAGAATAAAACACCTAATGTTTTAAAATAGTGATAAACCAAGGCCAAAACTAAAGAAAAAAAAAAACTGTGATAGCCCCAAAACCAAAGGCCAAAAGCCACAGCCAAAAAAGCCTAAACCTATAAAGTTTATAAGCCAAAGCCAAAAAGCCCCAAAAGCCAAAAGCCAAAGCAAAGCCAAAGCCAAGCCAAAGCCAAATCCAAACCCAACCCAAACCCAAAACCAAACCCAAAACCCAACACCCAAAACCCAAACCCAAACCCAAAACCAAATCCCTCAGAAACCCAAAAGATCCAAAACCCCAAACCCAAAATCCAAAACCAAAACCCAAACCCAAACCCAAACCCAAAACCCAAACAAACCCAAACCCCAAACCAAACCAAAACCAAAACCCAAAACCAAAACCAAAACCAAAAAACCCAAACCAAACCGAAGCAAAGCCAAAACTAAACTAAACCCAAAGCCAAGCCAAAGCCACAGCCAAAAGCCGAAACCAGAAACCAAACCAAACCAAAGCCGAAGCCAACCCAAACTCAAACCGAAGCAAGCACAAACCAAAAGCCAAAGGACCAAAGCCAAAGACAAAGCCAAACCAAACAAAAGCAAAACCAAAGCAAACTCAAGCCCAAACTTAGAATTTTAATAGAACCAAAGCCAAACCTAGGCTAAATTTGAGTCAAACCCAAAACCCAAAACCAAACTCAAACCTAAGTTAAAATCCTTAGGGCCATACCAAACTCAAAGTTTAAGCCAAACGTTTTTAAAGTCAAACCAAACCAAACCCGAAAACGAAACCCCAAAACGAAACCCAAAGCAAAAGAAAAGGAAAAAGGAAAACCCAACTCAATTCTCAATCGGAAAAGTTGAACCCAGCCGGAACTCTACTGCCAAAAAACAGCTTCAACTTCCAGCTCAAAGATAAAGCAAAAAACCTAAACTTGTTACCATCCAGGAGAACAATGACGTTAAACCGTCCATTCAATTTGGTGAAAGTTCGAGCCCTGCAATCT